GGCCTGGAGATCAGTGAGGCGCCCATGCCCATGCTTCTAGGTGCTTCTGCGAGTGGGCCTCCTGCCCTTGGCCCACTAGCTGCATGAGCAAGAGCCACCTGCCATCAGATGGGTGCTGTCTGTCCTCACAGGGTGGCCTGCGTGCTGCACCTTCTGTGGGCTGGTCACCGGTGCATCTGAAATCTACCCCTCTGCCTCTTTGTAGTCCCCCCCTCCCCACTCACACTGTGTGACCTTGTGATGCGTGTGGCGAGCAGCGCTCTCCGCTCCAAGTTCATGTCAGGACTCGGTTCCATGACCACTGCTGCCAGCACACGGGCAGCATCCTCATGCAGGGGGTAGTGAGCACCGCGGTCTTGACCTATGTGTTGTTACTTGTATTTGTAGAAATAAATGTATTCACACACTGAGATGGAGAGGGAGAGAGGGAGGGAGAGATGAACCTTGGTGATTAGTCACTCTACTGCTAACTGAAAGGTCAGTGGTTCGAACCCACCAGCCACTCTGCAGAAGACATTGGAGGCTATCCGCTTCCATAAAGATTTACAGCCTCGGAAGCCCTTTGGGAAGTTTTGCTCTGCCCTATAGGGTCACTGTGAGTTGGACTATATACATGTGACTATACACACACATAGGCACACGTATGTTTGAAACACCCTGGCTCAGACACACACATCTACATGCACCCTGTCGTGGGCATGGTGCTGCTTTCGCTCCCAGTGAAGCCGGAGGGGATGCCTCTGGTCCTTCAGGAGTGGAGCTGCTGGGACTGGGAAGAAACACGGCATTTTCTGGAAGCATCATGGTAGCCACAGCCCCCCTGCCTGGGGACAAGTCGCCCCAGGATGGGCTCCTCGAGCCCCTGGAGGTGTGGTCCTCTGAGCAGGGGAGAAGGGGCTAGCCTGGTGGGCTGTGGGGGGTGTGGAAGAGCACCTGCCCCCCCAGAAGGGTCCTCATGCTAAGATGACATTGCCACATTGTGTCTTGGTGCAATTTCATACGGGGGCGGAGGAGGTCGGGGCGGGGCTCCTGAGAATGGATTACACTGGCCTGGTGTGTGGAGAAGGAAAAGCCTGGGGGCCAAGGCCCTGGAGGGCCCTTGGGCTCTGAGATGGGGAGGCCACATGCCAGGCCCTGGTGGAGGTGGAGATGGAAAGGGATGAGCAGCTGACCACTGGGAGGGTCTCAGAGTCAGGTAGAGCCCCAGCTGGGTGGAAACAAATCTAAGGGGGCCTCCTTGGACTTGAGGCTCTGCAGCCAGTTCTGGGGAGGAGACAGAGGCTTGCAGGGAGGCAACAGACAAAGGGGCGGGCTGGGTACGGAGTTAGTGGAGAGGGGAAGAGGTGGGCTCTCCAGCGGGGAAAAAGTGAGAGTGGACTGGGGGCCTCAGGGAGAGGAGCAGCCAGGGAGTCCAGATGGACCGGGAGGCCAGGCCCCCTCCCTATTCCCCCTCCCCAGTCCCCCTCACCTCCCTGGCCTCCCCACTTCTTGTCACTCCTTCCCCTCCCCTCTCTCTAGGATGTCCGCGGCACCCCAAACTCTGTTACCTCCGGGACTACTGCTCCCCCAGCCCACTGTCTACCTCCTCCCTATGTGCCCTAGAGCCGTAAACACCCCGGCCCCTTTCCCAGGGACCCAACAGCTTTGTGCCCAACCCCACCTGAAGACAGCATCCCTTCATCTGGCTGAGTCAGTCCATGGGAGGGTAGGCCAGACTGGCCACCTACCTGTACCCCTACCTGACCTTCACCTGGCTCCCTTCCCTGGCCCCTCCACCTGGCCCTCACCTGCACCTCCTTCGGTCCCTCAAACAGCTCGGTATCTGGCCTCAGAGAAGGGTCCAGGATGGGTTTAGGCCGAGGAGTTCTCCCTGATCAGTGCCTGTCACCAGGTCTGGGCTGGGGGCAGGTGGGACCCTGGACAGTCCAAAAGCTGACAATGGGGATGGCTCGCTACCTCTGGCTGTGTGTAGAGTAGGGGACGGGTGTCTAAGCCTCTCCCACAAATTTGGTCTAAAGGCCAAGCCGCCCTCAACAAATGGCTTCTCAGCCTCATTAAATAGACACGCTGTAGGCCTCTCGTTGGCTGTGAAGCCCCTGGGGAAAGCCCCCAGCCCAGAGGCTTGCAGCTGCTGGCTGTCCAGCCAAGGCCCTGAGGGTTTTGAGCAGAGGCCACAACAGGTGCCCAGCTTGTCTTGTTTCTCTGCCTGGCTCCCCGCCACCACCTGACAAGACCTGATGTCCTCACAGTGACACGCAGAACATGAGTGCAGTGAGGACTGCCGGCACGGCTGCAACCTTAGTGCTCCGTCCAGTGAGCACCCGCAACCCAGTGCTCGGGGGCTTAGTGGGGGCTGATAGTGGATGGGTGGGTGGGTGGATCGATGG